TTGGAATAATTCGTCGAAACCCGTGTTTTAGCCTACTTGCGAGTAGCAAACTTCAATCCATTTTCAAAACAAACGGATATGCGATGCTTTGTTCCAATTTAGGCAATCCAGTCTAGACTTGTGTGCTGTGCGCATCACATAGTAATTCTAGGCTAATAAATCGGAATAAGAGCACATGTGTTTTCAAAAACTCGATATTATGCTTAGTAGTGGCCGATCTTCGATCGGGCGAGCGGGGGTGCTCATGAAAGGACCTTCCCCAATCGTACCCAAGTTCCCGAGCCGAGGCAACTTTGGTGATGACAGACACGTGACCTTAGGCACGAGTCAGGGTTTCCTAAATTCCCCCAAAACAAAATATTTAGGTGGCGACTCTGTATCTGGGAAAGCAGTCCATGTTTGGCACTTCTTTCTAAAAATCTGTTTTTCAAAACGATTTGCCGGATTTGGTCTCTTTGGTGATTTATCGGTCTCACATTGCACTTTGCGGGATTAGATTCAAAACCGTGACATTTGAGTCCGAACTGTAGTAAGCCCAATGAAAAAAATGAGATTCCCTCCTGGGACGTTCGGGGACATCTACAGTGGGTCCCGCACATACATGAGTGGTGTGGATCATTTTAGGAGTTGTGGGGGTCCCCAAAATTAGGGGTCCTAAGCATTTTTCCAAGAGTGTCAATCGGTAAACTCTGACTAGGAAGGTAGTATAGTGGGTGTTTGGGAAGTGAGTTTTTATGTAAATTTTTTTAGTTGTAGGATAATATTGGAAATTTTTTTTTTCATGTTTGAAAAGATAGTTGGATTTTTTGTGGTTGGATATGATGCTTGTGAGAGAAAAAGTGAAATGATTATGAGATATGATGTGATATTTTGTTTGGATTTGTTTTTTTTATTTTTTTTATTTTGCAAAAACTTTCTCTTTTAGTGAAAAAAATATAAAATAAAAAAACCTAAAAAAAATTGTTGCCAAACACTGCCATAATTTCCATAACCTGAAGCAGGTATTTGTATTAAATACATATCTCAGGGGGTGTGGTTGTAATTTACCATAATTTTTTTAATAAGAATTTAAATACAAAAAATCAAATAAACTACACCCAAAATTGATTAAAAAATTCAACTTACTCCAAAAATAAAATTCATTTTGTTGTCTCTAAATATATGTTTAACATGCGTAGGAAACAAATTTTTTAAAATTTAGTTCTATTGATTAGATAAAAATAAGCACTTAACAATGAAATTTTATTGTTCAAATACAAAAATCTTTCACTAAACTTCAACACTATGTCGCCATTACAATCAGCATAGCTAACTGCCACAATGATCACATAATTTTTTAATTTTCAGGTCAAATTTATTATGATTTTAGATATGAAAATAAAATATATAAGACACAAAGCAGATTAAAAAATCAATTTGCTCCAAAAATCATGAAAACATATGAAACAATTTTCAAAAATTAATTCCATTCATTACATAAAAAATCTGTGGTGGTGTTTAGGAAACGTAGGTGGAGGCTATTTTTGCCTCAACAATAAAAAAAGCCTTTTAACCCTTTTAGACCATTGATTTAAAAAAAAAAAAAAAGCAGTGGCTGGGACAGCCTACTAAAAAATAGCCCGGCTGTAGACTATCACAGTGACAGTGTAGAACTATCACTGTGACAGGTTGGTTAATTACAATTTTACATCTTTAGATTAATTTTGAAAAATGTAAAGTTAGGGACAAATTTGTCATTTTAACTTCAAATATCATTTCAACACATTTTTCAATACACAAACTTAAGTAAAAATCCATCATATCTTCCCAAACACAAAAACTAAAATAGCCTACTAAAATAGTCAAAAAGTCGAAAAGTCTCTAAAATAGCTATTTTCCAGACACTCACTATGTATAGTGTGTGAGTGATTTTCCGATCACACTGCCCAACTCAGTAATCAGTTGGAAAGTACTAGCAGAATAGATGACACCTGGCTGACCTGTAACAGAAAGAGAAGATTCCGGCGGTGGTTCGTCCACCCAGGGGCACTTCGACGATCAAGTCAGTATATCTCTCAAAGATAATCAATAGTGTTAAACTCACTGTTCAAAACATAAATTGCGTACCTTAGACCCATGAGGGTGCCTCTCTTTTATAATTAACTCAATCCTTGTCCCACTAGAAGCCTAGCTTCAATGGATTCTTGCTCAATGCTTATCCTGGACTCTCCAAGAGATAAAGATAAACTTTCTAAGAGCTTTATCTTTATCCATGCCATAGTCCTTCTTTATTCTAGGACTCTTGTCCCTTATCCGTTTATCTCGGATTTCGATATCTTCGGAGATAACCTCGGCCTTACCAAGATAACCTCGGCGTCATGACCTGGACATATGGCACCTCGGCTGACACATCAGCGTCACCTTGGCCACGTGTTTGGACTCAGGAAATATATCTCCACAACTGCCCCCTAGGTTCTATTACCTCGGCATTTTGAGGTGATAGAACCTATATCGGTACTTCCTGCTAGTACATCAGCTTAAGCCGAGCTCATCACTATAGGCCGACATGTCTTCTTAAAGATCAAGATTTCCAAGAACTTTTTCATGCGCATGAGCTGTCATGCATAATAACTCAACCGTTTTTAGCCACACGTCTTTTTCTTACTGGATCGTACCTGATACGCGTCTGTAAATCGAATCATTCTCACATGCGCCGTCTGGCACATACGTTCTTTTAGGCTCATTTATGACCCTTTTGCCGCCGTTTCTGTTTTATCAAAACTTCTTTTTTTCCCCCATCTTTTCACTTTTCACTTTTCATTGTTTCGGAAGATCTTTCTCTCTAGCTCTCTTCCTCAGATCCGCCATTGCTCAAGCTTTCTGAGTTCTGCAACTTGCTTTGTTTACCACCTCCGACGTGATTTCCACCGATCTTCCACCTCTGCAACCGTCGTCAGACTTCGGCAAATCCTATTTCGGCTTCCCTCTTTCTGGTAAGCCACTATTTCGCCTGGTTTCAGTTTCTTGTTACCTTACTGAACTTTACTGTTTTACCTGCTGTCTTTGCAATCTTGTTCATATTTATGGTATTTCACCTTGCATCTTGTATTCCACCGTATATTTGGACATGTTTGTCTCATGATTCTATTTTTACCCAAATCATCTTCTTGAATGTACACTGTTCATACTCCTGTTGATTTCTGCCACTGTTCTTGATAGTCCATCTTTGTTCTTGATTTTGAAGCGCATCCTTTGTTTTTCTGTTTTCCGGATTTGCGCCTTCAGTCTTCGTTTCCATATATTTAGGTTTGGGATTTGTTTGTAGAACCCTTGATTTTTAGGAAAAACTGGAACTATTTTCCTCAAATTCTTACCCAGCACACAATTTTGATTTTTGCCGAGGTCCCAATAACCCTTCCAAAACACCTTCATTCTGAAATCCAGTTCCTCCTAGCTAGGCCGATATCATGGGTATGTGGAAGCATAGGGTAGACACCCCGACAAAACTAGAATACTTTAGGCGAGAGTTTTCCATCCCTGCCGACGTCTATCTGAGGTTGGTTGGGGATGACGACTCCATCATGCCCACCACTGATTCTATGCCCTTCCCTGTAGTGGCCTTTATCGAGTGTGGACTTCGGCTCCCACTAAACATCCTTTTTCGTGAAATACTCCATTACTATAAGCTGAACCCTATGCAACTTGCCATCAGTTCCTATCGAGTTGTCAACGGTATAATTGCCTTAGCTAAACAAGAGAATGCTAGGATTACCTTAGCCGACATCCAATATTGCTACACCATGTGTGGCCTCAAAAAAGATACGGGCTATATTTACTACCTTAAGTCGAGGTCCACTGAATACAAAATCGTAGCCAACTTCTCAGACTCCAATAAGGGAGCTGGAGACGATTACTTCATTACCTCGGGGAACTGGTAATTCGCTCCAGACGAGGACCTCCATCTCTACCCTCTTCCTCGATCAGTTTTTGTAGAGGGCAATGGTAAGAGCCCTGTGTCCATATTTACTTGTTTGTTTCAAAGTCTTTGATACTCTTATTTGTTTCTAATGTCTGTTTTTTCGTGCAGCTCTTCCTCAGCCTCCAAAGGATTTCCGTCAGTCTTTCTTTCCCAGCAAAGACTTAAGTAGACTTTTGGATCTGCTAGTTCTCAAGCGGAAGTCGGCTCTTCCCGACATCCCCCCCTAAAAAAAGAAAAAAAAAAAAGCCTTTCTCCACTTTCTGCTACAACTCCACAAGGCGCGTCCACATCTCAGACAGACCAAGGATCAACCTTTGATTCTGTTGAACAGCCGTCAACCTCGGCTCCATACCTGATCCCGATATCCCACCACCAACGTCGGCGACGAACAGCTTTTGCTGCTGAAATGGGCCGCCAAAAAACAATTGCCAAAGATCTCTTGGCCAGCATCCCATCATCCATTGATGCTCCACCAGCGTAAACCCAACCTTCACCAAAGCAAAAAAAAAATTAAGACGGCTCAATCAAAGGCCAAGGTGACTCAGGTTGGCATTGAGGACACTTTGTCGATCTCCAAACTAGCTGAAAGTGACAAGTCCTAGCCTACCACAGAGAAGAGGCATGCCGAGGCCCAACCATCCGATTCTCCAAAATCAAAGAGGCCGAGGTCATCCTCTGCAACCACCTCGGGGTCCAAAAAACATGATGCCCCCTGGGCCCCCAAAATCACTCTGGAAAATAAGCCCGTTATGGCAAACGATAGTGCCGATGACATTAATGTCGGCGTAGCCCTCAGTACCGCACTTCTTCTCCCCGACGATCTCAACCGAAACGCTGAGTTGAGCAATTATGAAATCTATGCCCTGATGTTTCAACGCTCCGTTCAAGTAAGTGTCTTTATCTGACAACTTTTTCTTTCTTTTTGTTCATTCCATACTTGTAATTTTTTTTAACAATTTCTGTTCTGTTTTTACTTTCAGGCCATCCAGCATGCCATTCTTTCTCAATCCAATCTTTTGAGAATCGGAAGAAGCTAGCAGAAATGAAGAGGGAGGTCTCCAGTTTGCAAAAGACTGACAAAAATCTGCAATCAAAGATGAAGACTTTGGAGGATCAGGTTGAGATCGCTATCAAAGCCAAGGACGATGCCGAGGAAAAGGTTGGCGCTGCCGATGCGATAAACAAAGTACTTCAAGCCCAACTAAAAGAGGCCGAGGACAAGATGGTCGAGGCCCAAAGGGAGCTCCAAGATGCCCTGGCCACCAAAGAGGCTGAGGTCAAGGCCGCCGACGAGAAGGGCTACAACGAAGGGGTGGCCGATGTCACGGCGGATTATGAAAAACAAGTGAAGCAGGCATGCAACAAGGGCTTCACCCTTGGCTGGATGACCTTGCTGAAAAGGCTTGATGTCCCCGAGGACTCCCCCCTTAGGAATACCGATGTCCTTCCTCTGCTATTCTCCCAACTCCGAGCCAATCTGCCGACAATGACTCTGAGTCCAAAGAGGAAGTTTTGGTAAGGAAGTCAAAAGACGTTGTTGGGGCGAAGTCTCTTCCTCAAAATGAGCAAGTCCTAGACTTGACTCAAGATGAGGAGGTTGAGGAGGTCTCCAAGGATGCCACTCCAGAGAAGGCGTCATCGGACGTGCCTCCTGCCGACAAGAGCATAGATGAAACCCTTCAAGAAATTGATGCTGAACTTGCGGCCGAGAAGGTTGCCGAGATGTTGTCTCAGTAGTCCTCCGAGGTCCAAACCCAGCCTGCTGCTGAAGACTCTTGATTTCATGTTTTTCTCTTTCTTTTGTGCTTTGTACTTTTCTTTTTGGAACAATTGTAGGCTTTGGCCGATATGTCAACTTTTTAATATAACTCTCTTTTTTGAATGCTTATATGTGTGCCTTCCTTTATTGCTTCTTGTATGTCTTTCATACTTAGAATAATTTTTGTGTATCTTCAAAAATACTCTTTAGTCTTGTGCAACGTTATCGGGGTGAAACACCTCGGTAGTACAAAACTGATAATTTATCTCGGCAAGTACCCAAGTACCTTTCTAAACATAACCTTGGTTTCATAAAATTTCAACAGTGTTTTACCTTAGTTTAACTTCAACTTGTAAACTTTTCATAAGTTTCAACAAGTGTTAAACATTATCTCGGTTTAACTTCAACTTGTAAACTTTTCACAAGTTTCAACAAGTGTTAAACATCATTTCGATTTAACTTCAACTTGTAAACTTTTCTCAAGTTTCAACAAGTGTTAAATATCATTTCGGTTTAACTTCAACTTGTAAACTTTTCTCAAGTTTCAACAAGTGTTAAACATCATATCGGTTTAACTTCAACTTGTAAACTTTTTACAAGTTTCAACAAGTGTTAAACATCATATCGGTTTAACTTCAACTTGTAAACTTTTCTCAAGTTTCAACAAGCGTTAAACAACATATCGGTTTAACTTCAACTTGTAAACTTTTCTCAAGTTTCAACAAGTGTTAAATATCATTTCGGTTTAACTTCAACTTGTAAACTTTTCTCAAGTTTCAACAAGTGTTAAACATCATTTCGGTTTAACTTCAACTTGTATTATAGCGATCCCGGTTGTCCCTTTACTGTTCTGTTGTATTCCGGACTCGGTTCCGTGATATTGGTAGTGGTATACCTTGTTGTCATCCTTTAATTCCACTTGATTGAGTTTTAGGATGTTTTGGGCAGAGTTGTTACAGGTTGGTTAGGCTTTGGTTTTAATTCTTTGTTGCCTAGATTTTTGGAGGTCCGCTCGAGCGGGTCTTCATGCGCTCGAGCGGAGATTGTACACTCCCAGTTTTTCGTGTCCCTGCAAAACTTCTGCAGGTGTGTTTTTCACGCTCGAGCAGGTTTCTTTGCGCTCGAGCAGTGGCGCTCGAGCGGGTGCTTGGGAGCTCGATCGGGTAGTACCTTTGGGTGTAAGTTCTGGGAGGGGAAAATCTACGCTCGAGCGGACTGGTTTTTGCGCTCGAGCGGATGTGCTTTATTCTTGTGTCTTGGCGCTCGAGGGGACCTAGTTTTTGTTCTTGACGCTCGAGCGTTGTGTTTTTCGCTCGAGCGGGAATGTCATATATCAGTTGGCTGTGAGGCAGTTTTAAATCACTTTTTCTCATCCTTTCTCTCTCTTTCTTTTCTGAAAAAGCCATTTGAGAGCCTCTCTCTCTAAAACCTTGCCTTCTCTCTAGATATTGATCTAGCTAGGGTGTTTTCCTCACCTTTAGTCTTCACAAAAGTTGGGTTGATCGTCAAGGGCTATCTTTTGATCCGAGAAACTCGCGGTTTGGAGCAATTTCGTTTTCACCATCTTCTTCGTTGGGTGTCATCTTTTGAGGTAGGGGTTCCTACTCACTCTTATGGTCTTTGACCTAGATGTTTAGTGGCTTTGATAAAATGTTGAGTTGGTTGATTTTGGAACTTAGGGTTTCGAAATGTGTTAAAGAGGGTTTTGTAATTTTGGGCTCATAATTTGTATTTTGGGTTTCAAATGGTGTTATTGATGTTGGTTATTGACATTTAGACCATTGGGTCAATATTGAGAAATGGGGTAGAAAACCGTAATTTGGTTGAATAAATTAATTGGTATAATTAATTTGGGGAAAATTGTGGACTTATGGAATTGAGTTGAAAATAAATGAAATTGGCTCATTTTGTTGTGAAATGATGGAGTTGGATTTGTAAATCGCTCGCTTTGAAAACATTGATATTTTATCTGTTGGAACTTTTATTATCTGTTTAGAAATAACTGCTTGGGCTACCGGTGGAGGGTAGTTTTGATTGTTGTAGACAATACATGATAATTAGGCAAACTAAAACTAATCAATTGAATATGTCATAGAGTATGATGGTTGACAGAATACATTAACGTTATGTATTGATTGATTGTGTATATGACCTTTGTGTATATATGCATTGTGTGTGTGGGAGGAGATAGGGGATGTACTCCACGGTTTAGGGGAAGATAGGGGATGGACCTCTAAACCGGATGTTGTTTGGGAGGAGATAGGGGATGGACTCCACTGATATAACTTATATGCTTGTCAGATAATGTGTTGATACAGCTCATATGCTTATCTCTGAAAGTGTTGATACAGCTCATATGCTGTCATTGGAAGTGTTGATATAGCTAATATGCATATCTGTTGAAATGTGGATACAGCTTATATGCTTATCTGTTGAAATGTTGATACAACTAGTATGTTTATCTATTGTAAAAATGGGAAATGTTTAATATGAGTCATTGTCTCATATAAATGATTGGCTAGGTTCTGAGCCGTTGATGTGAATTGTGAAATTGATAAGAAATGGAAACTGAAATGAAATGAAACTGAGTTATGAATTGGTTTATGGAAACTGAACATTTAACAATTGCTAATGTCTTAGTTATTGCTCATACTGTGTTTAGCATATCTCTACTGGGCGTTGGCTCACCCTTTATGGGACATTATTTTCAGGTACAGGTAGTATGTCACCCCCAAGGACATAGCTTGGATGATGATGAGAGTTGAAGACTCTTTCTTTTGTTTATTTTGATGTATTACATGTAAATTCAAGCCAAGGGCTTAATATGTATTGAGTTAGTACTCTTCTTTTTGTAACCAAGTGTTAACTTGGAAAGCTGTAAGCCCTTAGGGCATTTGCTTTTGTTGTTAACATGTAATACAGTTGTAAGAATTACTCTGATAAATAGAAATGGTTATTTTATTTTATATCAATGCATATCTAATGAGATGGGTTTTATCTATTGTTTTGAGGCGTTACATGTATACTTTTCTCAAGTTTCAACAAGTGTTAAACATCATTTCTTCTCTCTGCCCCCTAATGTGAACCTAAGGTCCACTGGGGTCTCATTATGCACGTATTCCAAAACAACATTATGTATCTTCATCAGTCACAAATATAGAAGAATTCTGCTAAAATTTTATTCATTACGTCGGCAAATAACATGGAAAGTCTAATGATAGAAAAACTTCAGATTACAAGTATTCTAAGGTCTTGGCAACTCTTTACCCTCACTATCTTCAAGCCGATATGCCCTATTGCCCAATACCGAAGTGATTCTGTAGGGACCTTCCCAGTTTGGGCCAAGCTTGCCCTCCCTGGGATCCTTCTTGTTGCCGACGACTTTTCTCAAGACTAAGTCGCCGACTTAGAACTCTCTTGGGTTAACTCTTTTATTATAAGCTCTGGCAAGTTGTTGCTGGTAGGCTGTAAGCTGAATTGCAATTTTCTCTCTTCTTTCTTCTAGTAGGTCCAGATCTTGGGCTAAGAGTACATCATTACTCCCATTCTCTATTCCCTGGGTTCTGATCGCAGGGATGCCGACTTCAAGCGGAATGACAGCTTCTGTGCCATAGGTCATGGCAAAGGGGGATTCCCCCATTGATCTTTTCGGCGTAGTCTGATATGCCCAGAGCACACTTGGTAGTTTATCCACCCACTTTCCTTTTGCTACTTGCAGCCTCTTCTTTATCCCATCTAAGATAACTTTGTTGGATGCTTCTGCTTGTCCATTGCTTTGAGGAAAGCTTGGGGTTGAAAAGTAGTTCATGATCTTGAACTTTGCACAGAAGTTGTTGATTAGCTTGGTGTCAAATTGTGTTCCATTGTCAGCAACTATTGCTCTTAGAATCCCAAATCTGATGATGATGTTCCTTCATAAGAAGTTCTTCACGTCTACATCTCGGATCTTGGCTAGGGGCTCAGCTTCTATCCACTTGGGGAAGTAATCTATTGCTACCAGCAGGTACTTCCTTTGTCCAGTTGCTTGGGGCAGTTGCCCAACGAGATTCATGCCCCATTGGGCAAACGGCCAAGGACTGGATACTGGGTTTAGGTCTGCTGCTGGTTGGTGTATCAATGGTACAAACCTTTGGCATTTTTCACATTTCTTTACATAGGCTTCTGCATCTTTCTGCATGTAGGGCCACCAATACCCCTAGGTAATGGCCCTGTGGGCAAGTGATATGCCCCTAGTGTGGCTTTCACAGATTCCTTCATGTGTTTCATATAAAAAAATCTTCAACTTGTGATAGGTGTACACACCTTACAAGGGGTCCAGTGAAAAATCTTCTGTAGAGATGTCCTTTTGCTGTCAGAATGAATCTCGCCGACTTTAATCTGATCTTGTGTGCCTCTTTGTGGTCATCTGGTAGCTTTCCTTCCTTTAAGAATGCCACAATTGTATCCATCCAGCTTGGTCCCATAATCACACACATTGCTTCACGCTCTGTGGTCAGTGGTTCGATACTCGGGCCCAACAAGTACTCGACCATTATAGTCCTTGCTTTTCCAGGTTGTATTGCACTGGCCAGATTGGCTAGTGCATCGGCATGATTGTTATCATCTTGGCCGACCTGATTTAGTTGGCAATTATGAAACAAAGCTACTAACCTGTTGACTTCCTTTGCGTAGGCTGACATCCTTTCATATCGGGCTGCAAATTCGCCCATTGTTTGGTTGACTATGAGCTGGGAGTCACAGAAGACTATTACTTCATCTACTTCTGCTGCTACTGCCAACTTTAGTCCTGCAATCAATGCTTCATATTCTGCTTCATTATTTGAGGCCTTGAACCCCAATCGAATGGACTGTTGCAATATTTCTCCATCTGGAGATACCAGTACTACTCCTGCCCCCGCTCCTTGCCGGTTTGAGCTCCCATCGACAAACAATCGAAAGGAGTCGCCGATGTAAATGCTGCGGGGTCTGAGTTTTTCCT